AAGAAAAGGCAAATGTTGGGTGACGTATATATTCATTCATTCAATCAAAAATATAGAATATGAAAAAGAAAATCATTTTCAGAACCAACCAATTGTTCCACCACCAACATGACCTAATTTAGTTATCATAATTAATCTTATCCTCCTTTATCTTTTTCTTTTAGAGTGGATAATTCTGTACATTCTACAATTAATGAGTTGATTGGACTTCTTTCTTCACATCAAGATTGTTTTTATACAAAACATTCTTGTAAATATGCATATATTTCGCACCCATGTATGTATGCATGAAAGTAATTATAACTATTCTTGACCGCAAGATGGAATCTAAGCTCAATACTGTGTTGCGTTCTAGGATTTCATCTTAAAATGTTAATTTTTTTAAAAAAAAAGTTAGTACAAACAGTTCTACGATAAATATTGGGAGAAAATAGATAAGATTGTAACTTATTTTTCCATCTTATAGTACATAGTCTAACATTCCAAGAAAAAACCTTGTTTCGATAGAGACTAGGTCAGGCACACGAAGACCATCGAAGAAGGGCCTTTGTTTCTATTGAATAAATTATGTGAAATAGCTTTCGTGGTACTATATGAATGAGGTGCTTCTTGATCTCTTTTCATATCTCGTCACACTTAAAATTTAATTGTATGTGTAGTGCAATATATATTATTTATCTCAAATTACATTAATAACTACAAGATTTTTATATGAGAGACAAACTAATCATTTCTTTTAAAAATGGAATCAAAACAGTATTCTTGTGTATATCAAGCATGAAAGCAAACGCCAACTTGCATAAAATGTTGAGCAATTTGTTCTTGAAGTAGTAGAGACTATTGAATATGAATTGTGGGCCATCCTCAATAAACCCAACAAACGTCCCAATCAAATACAAACATTTTAAAATATTTCAATAATTTAATATTTATATCAACGTTTTGAAAACAGACCATGGCATCGACATGAAAAAGGTGAAAGGTCAAAAGGTTCAACCGTGGTCGAACCGGAATTGAATCGGATGCAATAAATAAATAAATACACGCAAAAAATAAAATACTATGAAATCAATAAGAATGTGTTTGATTGCATTTATTTTCCATGAAAAATGTCAGTTTTCCACCAAAATTCTTACTTTGGAGTGTGTAATTGTTATTTTTTTCCATTGAAAATAGTTTCCAACTTTTGAAAATATGCAGAATTTTCCTTATTTTTGAAGAAAACATTTTCTTTGGAGTTGGATAGGTTTTTGTTTTCTTCAAAACAAGAAAAACATTTTCTTTTCTAAGAAATATTTTTCATACCAATCAAACACACTCTAATTTTTTATTTTTCATATTAATAATTCAAATTAAATCTATGTTTGTTAATGAGATTCATTATCAAGTGTAATTTAAGTTAAATTTGAAAATTAAATAAATGAAAAGATGAAATTGGATATTACAATTTAGTTATTTTGGATTCAAAATCATAAATTTGGCTTGAAAAATGATTTTGATGGGAATTTTAACCTTTTTTTGCTATACCACTATCTCACATTGGAATTTTATGAAAACACTTAATGAAGTACATATATAATATCACTATTCCACATTGAAAGTTTATCAAATCATTTGTGAGAAATACATTTATGAAAGGAGCATGTCATCCAAAATTCATCTATGAGCCTTTGATAATTACAGTGTATGAGGCCCATTAAAAAAAAGTTAAATTTTTTTAATTAAAATTTAGTAAAATTGCCACTGGGTCACCGGTTCATGACTAAATAGACCGGTTCGATGGGTTTTGAGCGGTTTTTGTGCTAGTCAATTAACAAGGCATGATTGGCCCGATTTTGAATCCGGTTCCTGGGTTCGATGGGTTTTGAGCGATTTTTGTGCTA